TGGCTGCAGGCAGCGAGCAGGGCAGGGCACATGCTGTTGTCAGGGCGGGACTCAAGGTGGGCTCCAGCAGGTCAAGGAGGGATCTGGCTAGGGGTCCAGATGCTGAGTTCCCAGTGGTCCCCAGGCCAGGAGGGCCATGCACGCGTCCGTGCAGTGAAACGTGTTCTGGACAGTGTAGGGACATCCAGACAGCAGTCGCTGCCCTTCCTCTTCTCACCATGGGGGTCTTCCCTTATCCCTGGACTGTTCTTTTTTTTTTTTTTTTTTCTTTTTTGGGAAAGGTTTTATTTCTGTAGGGCGTGTGTGCTCACCAGGAAGACAGAGAGAGACAGAGAGACAGAAAGTGAGAAATCCCCCCCCTGGGGGATGGTTACTCCGCAATCCCTTTTCCTCCATTCTCCTCTCAGGATCTTGGGCACGCACGCACACGCACCCGATGTGAGTTTAAGCCACCAGGGCCGGGACTCGAACTGCGGTCGGCTACCTGGGAGTTCAGCAACATAGCCATTACTCTAACTGCTGGTCCCTCCCTGGGTTGTTCTTCAGCTCCCCTCTGCCCGTCAGCCCTTGGGCCTCCGAGCTGCCTCAGGGAGCCGGGCTAGACCCATCTCTATGTTCAGAGAAGACCCGAGAGCCACGGACCCTCCGCACTGCTGGCAGCGTGGGAGGCTGAGGGAGCCCAGTGCTGACCGGCTTGGCCCACCTGCCAAGTGGGGTCTGTGGGTCCCGGGCTTTTCTGGAAAGCAGGGCTGGCTGTGCCTTGATGACTGGAATGGCCACACCTGGGCAGGCTGCCCGGACCTGTGTGGGAGGGACAGTGCCCTTGCAGTGACCATGTGCCCTTCCCTTCCAGGGGCCCCGCCCGTCATGCCAAGGTAAAGCAGAGTAGCTCAGTGCTGAACATGCTAAGGAGGCTGGACAGGATCCGGTTCAGAGGTCACAAGAGAGATGACTTCCTTGACCTAGCGGAGTCCCCAAATGCCTCGGACACTGAATGCGGAGACGAGGTTCCCCTGAAGATACCTCGGACCTCGCCCCGGGACAGCGAGGAGCTGCGGGACCCTGTGAGTATGCAGCCCGAGCACATGAGCACGTGGCCCGGACATTGCCACTTCTCCCTTGCGTGGGCCAGCGTGTGACCCCAGGTCTCGGGCAGCCTAGCCAAGAGTGCCCTGGGGCAGGTTCCCACTGCGCCGGGTGGTTCAAGGTGGAAATGGGGCCAGGTGTTCCCTCTCCTCCTTTCGCTCCCTGTGCCTCCCGGCCCCTGCACAGACCTGGCTGGGTGAGGCCTGTCCCGTGGAGCCCCGCCTGCACTCGGCCTGCCCTGCACCCAGGTTTCTTTGCCTGCTCGTGCAGAAAGTGACGCCAAGGCCCGGGCTGACACCTCTGGGTGGAGACGTGGGCTGTCTGGAAGCTGCTGGTGCCTGGCTGATCTGCCTGGCGTGCAGGGGTGCCTCACTGGCACCAACCCCAGCAGGGGGCTGAGCCAGCCTGGGCCCTCATCAGCCATCAGCCAGGACTGGCCTTGTGGCCAGTCTGCCGGGGCTCTGTGACCCAGCAGCCAGGCCTGAGGGTCAGCGGGAACCAGCGTGCGCAGGCCTGCCTTCTGGAAGCTGGTGCTCCTTGGGGCGGGGCGGCAGCGTATCTAATAGGGACAGGATGACTGTGGCTGCTTCTCTGGCCAGGTCTGACCATGGCACTTGTGGCTCTGGGCCCTTGGCCTGTGTCCCCACGCCGGTGAGGGGTGTGGTGGGAGGTTCAGGACCGTGGTCTTGACCTGGGGCAGAGCACTTGCATTTGGGGTACTAGGGAGCCCCTGCAGGGGAGGTCGCTGTTGTAGCTTCATGCTCTAGATAGTTAGCTGGGAAGTGGGCTGGAGAAGGTGGGCTCCTGGAGTACGGGGTGCTGGCAGGCAGGGCCTGCGAGGGGTTGCGGGAAAGGCGGACTGTGCTCTGGACCATGTCTGACGTGCAGGCCTGGTCCACCAGGCAGGAATGTGCTGTCGTGACGTGTTGACCTGGCAGGGGGCTTGGCGCAGGGTTGCAGCTGGCACTGACCCCGGAAACACCAGGACAGCCGTTTCACTGTGGGGGCCTTAACCCCAGCCTCGGGTCCTCAGCGGTCTTTGGGTGTGTGTGTGAGCGTGTGTGTGAGAGAGAATGTATGTGAGTGTGTGTGTGAGCATGTGTGCATGAGTGTGTCTGTATGTGAAAGAGCGTGCTGTGTCCTCACCAGGTCTCACCGTGTGTGTGTGTGTGTGTATGTGCTCGCGTGCATATGTGTATGTGTGAGACAGCGCTGTGTCCTCACCAGGTCTCACCGTGTGTGTGTGTGTGTGTGTGTGTATGTGCTCACGTGCATATGTATATGTGTGAGACAGCGCTGTGTCCTCACCAGGTCTCACCGTGTGTGTGTGTGTGTGTGTGTGTGTGCTCACATGCGTATGTGTATGTGTGAGACAGCGCTGTGTCCTCACCAGGTCTCACCGTGTGTGTGTGTGTGTGTGTGTGTGTGCTCACATGCGTATGTGTATGTGTGAGACAGCGCTGTGTCCTCACCAGGTCTCACCGTGTGTGTGTGTGTGTGTGTGTGTGTGCTCACATGCGTATGTGTATGTGTGAGACAGCGCTGTGTCCTCACCAGGTCTCACCGTGTGTGTGTGTGTGTGTGTGTGTGTGCTCACATGCGTATGTGTATGTGTGAGACAGCGCTGTGTCCTCACCAGGTCTCACCGTGTGTGTGTGTGTGTGTGTGTGTGTGCTCACATGCGTATGTGTATGTGTGAGACAGCGCTGTGTCCTCACCAGGTCTCACCGTGTGTGTGTGTGTGTGTGTGTGTGTGCTCACATGCGTATGTGTATGTGTGAGACAGCGCTGTGTCCTCACCAGGTCTCACCGTGTGTGTGTGTGTGTGTGTGTGTGTGCTCACATGCGTATGTGTATGTGTGAGACAGCGCTGTGTCCTCACCAGGTCTCACCGTGTGTGTGTGTGTGTGTGTGTGTGTGCTCACATGCGTATGTGTATGTGTGAGACAGCGCTGTGTCCTCACCAGGTCTCACCGTGTGTGTGTGTGTGTGTGTGTGTGTGCTCACATGCGTATGTGTATGTGTGAGACAGCGCTGTGTCCTCACCAGGTCTCACCGTGTGTGTGTGTGTGTGTGTGTGTGTGCTCACATGCGTATGTGTATGTGTGAGACAGCGCTGTGTCCTCACCAGGTCTCACCGTGTGTGTGTGTGTGTGTGTGTGTGTGTATACGTGTGTGAGTGTATGTGTGAGAGAGCTCTGCAACCTTGCCAGGTCTCACCGTGTGTGTGTGAGTGTGTATGTACGCACGTGTGTATTTGTGACAGAGTGCTGCGTCCTCGCCAGGTCTCACTGTGTGTGTGTGTATGCATGTGCATGTGTATGTGTGAGAGAGTGCTGCCTCTTTGCCAGGTCTCACCGTGTGTGTGTGTGTGTGTGTGTGTGTGTATGCACGTGCGTGTGTATGTGTGAGACAGCGCTGCCTCTTTGCCAGGTCTCACCGTGTGTGTGAGTGTATATGTGTGTGTATGCACGTGCATGTGTATGTGTGAGAGAGCGCTGCCTCTTTGCCACATCTCATCGTGTGTGTGCATGTGTATGTGTGTATGCACATGCGTGTGTATGTGTGAGAGAGCGCTGCCTCTTTGCCAGGTCTCACCGTGTGTGTGTGTGTGTGTGTGTGTGTATGCACGTGCGTGTGTATGTGTGAGAGAGCGCTGCCTCTTTGCCAGGTCTCACCGTGTGTGTGTGTGTGTGTGTGTGTGTATGCACGTGCGTGTGTATGTGTGAGAGAGCGCTGCCTCTTTGCCAGGTCTCACCGTGTGTGTGTGTGTGTGTGTGTGTGTATGCACGTGCGTGTGTATGTGTGAGAGAGCGCTGCCTCTTTGCCAGGTCTCACCGTGTGTGTGTGTGTGTGTGTGTGTGTATGCACGTGCGTGTGTATGTGTGAGAGAGCGCTGCCTCTTTGCCAGGTCTCACCGTGTGTGTGTGTGTGTGTGTGTGTGTATGCACGTGCGTGTGTATGTGTGAGAGAGCGCTGCCTCTTTGCCAGGTCTCACCGTGTGTGTGTGTGTGTGTGTGTGTGTATGCACGTGCGTGTGTATGTGTGAGAGAGCGCTGCCTCTTTGCCAGGTCTCACCGTGTGTGTGTGTGTGTGTGTGTGTGTATGCACGTGCGTGTGTATGTGTGAGAGAGCGCTGCCTCTTTGCCAGGTCTCACCGTGTGTGTGAGTGTGTATGTGTGTGTATGCATGTGGGTGTGTATGTGTGTGAGAGCGCTGCCTCTTTGCCAGGTCTCACCGTGTGTGTGAGTGTGTGTGAGTGTGTATGTGTGTGTATGCACATGCGTGTGTATGTGTGAGAGCGCTGCCTCTTTGCCAGGTCTCACCGTGTGTGTATGAGTGTGTATGCACGTGCGTGTGTATGTGTGAGAGAGCGCTACGTCCTTGCCAGATCTCACCATGTCGCAGCCCTCCCGGCCTCCAGTTAGCTGGACCCTGGCGCACAGCGCAGAGCCTGGCCTGTTCAGGCCGGCCCGGGCCGCACCTGGCCTTCCCACGCAGCCCCTGCCACTCACAGCAGCACCCTTGTGCTTAGCCGCCTCGGCTGGGCCCAGCCTCAGTCGTCCACCCATCCTTCCTTCCTGCCTTCCTCGCCAGAGAAAGAGGGAGCAGCCTGCAGTGGGATGTGGCCGCGTCACAATCCTCTCCCCTTGGTTTTCCATCGCCTTATCAGGATTTCAGGCAGCCACACATGCCTGCTATGGTTGTCAAGCCCCAGGGCCAGGACTGGAACCATGGTCAGCCCTATGGGATCCAGCTCCCTACACCCACTGCTTAGCCACTGAACCACAGGCCAGCCTTATTTTCACACACCCCACCGCCCCTGGGCATGTGCAATTGCCAGAGAGAGAGAGAGAGTGAGAAGTCACCTTCCAGAGGGGATGACCATGCCACGATCCCTTCCCCCCCACTCTCCTCTTGTGGTTTTAAGCGTGCACTCACGTGTACCCGGCGTGTTTTCAAGCCACTGAGTCCGGGATTCAGTTTAAGGAGGAATGGCGATGGCGTCTGCCTCCCAGGCCTACCTGGAGCATAGATGAGGTAGCACGTAGAAAGTGTGTGTCCAGCCACCAGCCGGAGCTCACAGGGAGCCGTGCTTCACGGCCGCGGGTGCCGATTCCTCAAGGCTCTTCCCCGCTGAGGCCAGGACAAAGCCTGCTCCCTGCAGCACGCAGACCCTACTCTGGTCCCCCACGCAGCCGTAGGGTGTGCTGTGCAGCGGCGCTGCCATCCTGGCTCCTGCACCCTCCCTTGGAGCAAGGCAGCTCCCTCCCTGTGTGGCCCCGCAGTTGTCGAGAGAGACCAGCTGGAGCAGCAGGCTGGGGGTTATGACAGCACCGTTTGGGGTTCCCATGGCGTGCACAGCTCGCACTGTCAGAGGGTGACTCAATGGTTTCAGGTGTGTTTGCGGTGTCATGTGACCTTACTGTAGGGTATTAGGGCATTTCATTGCCCCGAAAGGGAGGGGAGGGGGAGTCGGGGGGCCTGAGGGTCCATGGACGGGTTTGCGAGGGTGGGGCTGCAGCACAGGGTGATGTCTGGGTCAGGGTGGTCAGGGAAGGGGAGCAGGGAGAGTCAGGGAGCTGGGGGCCCATGGGCAGGTGTGCAGGGGGTGCTGCAGCACGGGGTGATGTCTGGGTCGGGGTGGTCAGGGGCGGGGAGCTGAGGCAGGGCCGGGGGTAAAGATGGATGGTATGGGTTTATTTGTGTGGCCAGTGTGAGGAGGACGTGGCTCCCGAGGCCTTAGAGCTGGGGCAGCTCCCACCAGGAGGAGGACACCTCCAGAGTGGGGGTAGAGGAGGGTTCTGCTCTGAGAGGGCCACTGTAGAGGCCGGGCGAAATGTGAAGGGCATGGCTCTGGAGCAGCCAGAAGTCCGGGGACGGCCTGCCCACCTCTAGGACCTGTGGGTAGTGCTGTACCTCGGGCCTTGCTCGCCAAGGTCTCCAGTCAAACCTCTGCCTCCCACCCGGGACACCAAGAGGCTTGCAGAGAGTCCAGCCTCGGAACTTAAAAACAGTACCAGGCCTTGTCATCCCTGGGGACCCTGCCAGCTGCTCAGCGTCCCCTGCCCCAGGTGACTCCCAGCTGCGCTGCTGCCCCTTCTGCAGGAGGCCTAGGGTCCTCAGGCTGGGTAGGAACCCCGAGGCAGGCCCTGGGACAGCCTCCTGGGGCACCAGGTGCTGTGGGTTTGGCGGGGAGGTTATAGCCCAGTGAGTCTTCAGCCTCTTTGGAGTCGTTGTCCTTGTTTGACAGACAAGGAGGCCGAGGCCCTGGGCAGCTTAAGGTATGCACAAGGTCCTGTAGCAAATGGTGGCAGAGCCGTACCTGGACGCGGGACTCCCGGAGTCCCGGCCTAACGGGTGTGCACACGTCGCCCACTCTGTTGCCACAGCGGGAAGGGAGCGGATGTCGGGAGCCAGTGGTGCCGGGTAGGGCCGCCTGGCTGCGGCTGCCCTGTCCTGGGCCCCTGACCTCCTCTTTCAGCCGCTCAGCTGCTCACACGAGTTCCCAGGGAACTTGTCCACATTTTGCTGCGGCCCCTGGAAGCCCTGGCGGTGTGCGGAAGGCAGGGTCACTCCTGCAGCAGCTTTGGCCTAGGGGGAATGGACAGGAGAGCCTGGGGGTGGGAGCCAGGGCCCAGGGAACTCAGAAGGGCTCTGCCGGGCTCAGCTCCTGCAGTGGATGACTGGGGTGCTGGGCCGTCCCGTGGGAGCTCCCGATGCAGGTGCGGGGCCAGACCCAGCCTCAGCTCAACCCGAGGGTAGACGTCTCCAGGAGGTGGCCCTGACCCAGCCGCCCCCACTGAGCTCACGGGCCTGGAAGACTCCCTGCGCGGTGGGGGCCACTCAGCAGTCGGAGGAGCCCACACAGCCCGTACCCTCGTCCGTTACCCACCCGATGCCCGTTTCCCCGCCGTGGCTCCCCTTCCCTGGGCCTCTTGTCTTGGTAGCTTCTGGAACTTTCTCCCCATGTTCCTTGGATCTGCGTGGAGCCTGGCCGCCCTGGCTCGGGCAGAAGCCGCAGCTAGTCCCCGGCTGCCTATAGCCCCTGCTGAGCTCTCGCCCTGTCCTTCCAGGCCGGTCCAGGGACCCTCATCATGGCTGCAGGAGTCCAGGACTTTAACCGGACGGAGTTCGATCGCCTGAACGAGATCAAAGGTCACCTGGAAATCGCCTTACTGGAAAAGCACTTCCTACGTAAGTACCAGGGAGTGCTTGGGGGGCGGGACCGGCCGGGGAGGGGCTGCATGCCTGGGACTTGTGGGCAGGAGGGGGGTGGCCCTTGTGCCACTGTGGGCCCGGAAGTCCCCACTCAGCCTTTGCCATGTCACTGATCCAGCTCCAGAGTTGGCTCAGCTGGGGGAGGTGGGTCTTCACTCAGAGAGGGGGTGTCTACCCAGCGGGGTGGAGGGGAGTCTCTGGGGAGGAATGGAATGTGCCGTGAGAATTCTGATCTTTTTAGTGAATTCCCAGCGGTGAACTCGGAATGTATCGGGGCGTGAGGGGCCCTGGCTTTTCCTCCTGTAGTCGGAGGTCGGGGAGCAGCGTGGCAGTGTCTGTGGTACATTGGCACCCGCCATACTTGTCCCGCTTGCCGGGGTCTGGCCTACCAGGTGGTGGTGATAGTGGCCCCCAGGGCTTGCAGATGTGACCCCATTACATGCCCTGCTCTGGGTTCTTCCTCCCCACTCTGTGCTCCCCCAATTTGACAGGGAGGAAACTGAGGCATAGAGGCCACCTTATTGCTGTGTGAAGTCCTCTGACTCGGAGGGGACGTAGGCCAGGCAGGGGAGCCCCACAGCCATACACGTGGCCCAAGTGCAGACGTGGCCTTCTCAGAGCTGATGCCGCGGTGGGGAGACAGCGTCACCCCTCGAGCCCGGAGCTGTTCATCTCTGATGCTCATGAGCAATGACCAGACCTGGGAAGGGCCCACCACTGTGATGGGTAGCCTTCGCCCGGGGGGGTGAGGGGCACACCCTCTGGGCCTCAGTGCTCTGGACCAAGCAGCTTGCCTCCCCGTGCACTCATGACCACCCTCCGCTCCTGGCCGGTCTCCCGAGCTGCCGCAGAGGCTCTGGGCTTGCTGGGTGCCAGGGCAGCCTCCGTGGCTTTCCCATGGCCAGTACTGATCAGGGGCTGCTGCACGGAAGCCGTTCTGGGTGGCCGGAGAGCACAGCCGACAGGCCCTGACTGCCACCTGCTGTTCTGTGGGCTGAGTGCTCAGGTGGTGGTTTCTTTCTTCTTCTTTTTGGAGAAGTTTTTGCTATAGGGCATGTGTGCTCACCAGAAAGAGAGACAGAGACAGAGAGACAGAAAGCGAGAAATCACCACCCCCCCCGGTGGGGATGGCCACACCGCAGTCCCTTCTCCTCCATTCTCCTCTCGGGATCTTGGGCACGTACGCACAATGCGCCTGGCATGAGTTTAAGCCACCGGGTCCAGGACTCAGACCGCTGTTGACGACGTGGGAGTCCAGCGACATAGCCATTACACTAACTGCTGGTCCCAGATGGTGGTTTCTCATGAGGCCCAGTACACGAAGCGCTCTTGGGGAAGAGGACAGTTGTGTGAGGGCGTCTCATGGAGCCCCTGCCCAGGGAGACGGGACATGTCCAGGAGAAAGGGGTTACTAGGAAGGGCTGGAGTTGATGGGATGTCTGTCCACTCACATCCCTTTGTGACAGGTTGGGACCGAGTTGCAAAGGGAAGGGAAGGCAGCTGGAACCTTGGACACCCCTCTGGGAAGAAAAGGGGAGGGACCACCGGCCATGGGCATCACTGTTAGTGTCCTCAAGCCAGTGCTACTGTCCTGGCCCCTGTGCCCCAGACTTCAGTGTTTGTGAACAAGGGTCTTTTTGCTCCTCACTAGCTCCTGAAGGAAGTGCAGAAATTGCCTTTGACAGCCTTGGGCAGCAGTGAGCAGCAGTGGGCAGCTGTGGGCAGCAGTGAGCAGCAGTGGGCAGCTGTGGGCAGCAGTGGGCAGCAGTGGGCAGCTGTGGCAGCAGTGTGTGCAGACCACATCTCTTTGGTCTCACCAGATACCAACTTCAGCACAGATGCCCTAGGTGTTGGCCTTTTCTGGCAGCTCTGGTTGCTGGCCTCAGCCAGGTGGCACGGTGCCGGCAGGAGGAGCCCTCCGCTGTCCTCTGCAGGCTTTCCCTCCGCTGTCCCCTGCAGGCTTTCCCTCCGCTGTCCCCTGTAGGCTTTCCCTCCGCTGTCCCCTGCAGGCTTTCTGTCCGCTGTCCCCTGTAGGTTTTCCCTCTGTTGTTCCCTGCAGGCTTTCTCCGCAGTGTCTCCCTGTGCTGGCTGGGGACCTACTGCCAGCATCCCCAGGACCTTAACATGGGACCTGACTTGTACCCGTCCCCCCACCTGGGTAGCCACAGGAGCGAGTGAGCACGGGGAAGGGCCTTCCTGGGGGGTGGGCCCTGGCCTGTGCCATCCCTCTTCGGTGTCACGCCGTGGCGTTAGCTGCCGGCCACCAGCCGTGTTCTCATTCTAGATTGCAGGGTGTGCATTTCTGCTCCTGCCATCCCTTCTCCATTACTAGCTGGTTTATTTTAGGGGGATGAGAAAACATCCCTTTGTCAGCTCTGGGGCCCCCGGGTATACCGTACAGGAAAAGCAGGCTGCCCATGTGAATTTTCCCCTTTATTTTTCATTTTCAAAATAGCGAGTTGGCGTCGGGTGCATGTACATGCGTGCCCAAGATCCCGAGAGGAGAATGCAGGAGAAGGGATTGTGGCGTGGCCATCCCCCCTGGGGGTGATTTCTCACTTTCTATCTCTCTGTCTCTCTCTGTCTTTCTGGCGAGTGCACGCACCTTATAGCAAAAACCTCTCCAAAAAAAAAATAGGGAGTTGGATTCTCTACTTAGAGCGTCTTCCAAAAGGCACCGAGGATGGTGTTGTGTTTGTGTGGGGGGTTTGTTTTTGCCTTGGGACCGTGGACTCCGATGCATCTGACGGGTTTTAATCGTGATCATTACCTTTGCTCATGCGTAGCCCTGCGCTGGGCTGGGGGTGCCTTTCTCAGCTCACGCCTGTCATGTATGAGAGCTCTTCTTTATTCATGTTCAGGTATGCACGGACACACACACGTGCACAGATACAAGCACCCTCCATGGGCTCTGACTAGCCGTGCCCCCTGTCCTCCAGCCTGTCAGATCTTTGGTGCTCACGCACGTGCCGGGCATGTTTGGGGCTGACCGGGCTGGGGATCTGAACTGCAGTGGCTATGTGGGACCCAGCTTCTCTTGAGCAGCACATTACCACTGCACCACAGAACTGGCCCCTGTGAGAGTGTGGCCTTTCAGTGACAAAGTATTCCGGGCTCATCTCGATCGTTTCTTAGCGGATCCCAGGAGTTGACAGTTTCTCAGAAAAGTCCTGTTGCCCTGGGACGGAAAGTGGTACTCCGGACGCTCGCTGCTGCTGGTGGCCGCTCCGTCCTGACCTGGTGGGCAGGGCCGGGGCTACAGGAGCTCACGTGTCCAGGACCCCGGATTTCCGGTCAGCCCACTGGACCTCCGCGCTTTCCCTGTGGGGACATCTTGTTCTCGGCGAGCAGCAGCGGCAGCATCTGGTCTGCAGTAAGGCATGCAGGTCTCTGGCTGCGATACCAGGACTGGGCGACCTCAGGGTTGCTAACACAAATCCCCTTTGTTCCTAGCATTGGGCTTATGGCAATCCCACCAAATCAGTTTGAAAGTCCCTGTGAGCAGTTCCCCGTGGCTGTGACGTCAAGTCAGTGCTCGGCTGGGTTCATTTCTTCCTTTTGCTTTAGATTTTTAGGGATTGCTTTGTGTGTGTGTTTTAACTTTTTTTTTCTTTTAGAGAGGTTTTCGCTATAGGGCGTATGCACTCGCCAGACAGACAGAGAGAGACACAGAGACAGAAAGTGAGAAATCACCCCCCAGGGGGGATGGTCACGCCGCAATCCCTTCTCCTCCATTCTCCTCTCGGGATCTTGGGCACGCACGCACACGCGCCCAGCGTGAGTTTTAAGCCACCGGGTCCGGGACACGATCCGCGGTTGACTACGTGGGAGTCCAGTGACATAGCCATTACACTAACTGCTGGTTCCCTGTTTTAACTTTTTATTTAGCCACAATTTCGAAGTGACAAAGATAACAAAGAATTCCTAAGGCCAACCAGGCGGTGTGATTGAGGTGCTGGATCCCTCATGGCTGTCCGCATGGTTTGAGTCCTGGACCTGGCAGCTTGAAAACCATGCCGGGTTCACGTGTGTGTGCCTAGAATCCCGACTGGAAAATGGAAGGAAAGGGATCGTGATGTGGCTATCCGTCCTGAGGGGTGACTTCTTTCTCTTTCCAGTGAGCTCATGTGCCCTATGGCAAGTAAAATAATAAGCAGTAAGAATTCCCGTATATATCTTCATCTAGTTATTTGCATGTTTGCCTGTCTTGTCCGTCTACCCCTTACCCCCATGTATTATCCTGAGCTGTCAGGGGTATTTTCCCGAGCTGTCGGGTGGGATTCTCCCTAGCTGTCGGGTATTTTCCTGAGCTGTCAAAGCCATGATGCCCCAAGCTCTACTCGGATATGGATTTCCTAAAAGCAAGAGTATTCTCTGATCTTACCACGCAGCAGTTCTCAAAATCAGGATAGCCACCATGCCCCCCTAATTTTATGCACCCTCCTTCCAGTGAATGCTTTTTCTGTTATGAGAGAGAAAGAGGGGAGAGAGGGAAAAGGAGAAAGAGATATTAGAATCTTCCCAAAGTTCACAGGAAATGCGTGTTATGAAAACAGTTTTGCACCAAAATAAACTTACGTTGATTCCATTTATCTGCAGACTTTCTGAAGACCCCTCATCACAGTTGCCCTTCAGGGTCCCACTGTCACTGCCCAACCCTGGCCTTCCAGCGGTGGCTCCCCTGTGTCACTGCAGCTGGGTCTGGATTTGCAGAAGCGAGCGTGCATAGCTACTCGTCCCTCCCCTCGTGCTAGTACACATGAGCACCAGGGTGCGCTCTGTCCACACGCGCGTCGACCCTGCAGGTCAGCCCACGGGCCGCTCAGCGGTGTCCCTGTTCTGCCGTACTCCTGCATCCAGGGGCCGCACGGCCTAGCCCTCCTGTCCCCCCTGTGGATGGCTGTGTGGCCTCCAGCTTGTGGCTATTAGAGTTATGGGTTGTCCTCTGCCCAGCCTGCCTGCCCTGGAGGGTGTGG